ACATTGTGCACTCTGCCAGATCTATGGTGAGTGACGATGCATCTTTGCACGGCTCTGCGAGCTCAGCCTGCGCCGGCGCATGTCCGTATCAAGCCTGACGCTGCGCTTTCAATCTCTAATCGATTCGCACACCTTACTGCGGCAGGTGCGTCCGATCACGTACCCATCTTTCTCGACGTGGAATGGTAAGACACGCAAGCCTGCCCTTCTTCGCACTACTCCAGGCCTGCTCTCGCGAGCCGTCGAGTCTTGCGATGCAACAGATCCTCAAACCTCGCTACGGTATGCTTTTGGCACCCACGTGTTCGAATCTACACGATCTGCGCAGTCGCGCGTGACGATACGTCTTGTCCCACAGCTGCTGCCCCTGTCGTCTAGCCAAGCTTTGTTGTGCGAGCGCAAGTGCAAAGTGTGGTATAGATTGCAAAAGGTGGGAATCAGGTGCGAAAAAAAGGTAAAGTGCTATCAAGCTACTACAGAAGCCGGGGCCGCTCGTTCGCGTAGCAGAGGGCAAAAGGCCAAAAGCTGTAAGGCATACTTGCCCACTGCACGGGCCGGCCTACACACTTCTTGCCTCCGCACCAGCATCCAAATCGTACCTTTCCTCCAATCCCAACTCCTCGCTAGTCTTGGGTCTAAGACTCAATTCCCTGTTCTGTCCAGCCGCGCCATTCGCCACATTTGCCGAGCTCTGTCTACTTGCGCCCGCATTGTGCCCGCTGCTGCTGCTGCTGCTGCTCCTACTCCCACCACCGCTCGAAGAAGAGCTGCGCGCTTCGTAGGCATTCTCGTCCGACTCCGAATTGACGGGCGCAAAATAGTCGGCTAGGAAGATGGTGGATATGACGATGAGGGCTATGCCAAATGCCAAACCTGTCGAGGTGAAGAGTGACGTCTCGTCAGCAACCATTCTCCGGCTTCTCTGTGCTTATCGCTCGGAGCTAAAGTGCGTCAAACATTCAGCGGGCAGCTCACCCAAGGCTCGTCTCGTAGCTCCCCATCGTATACTCTCTTCGATTTCCACCCTCAGATCTCCCAAGGAGATGGTGAATCTGTTTTGCAGATCCTGAATCTCTTGCTCTAGCGCATTCGTATCCTGTTGCGATTCGGATTTCCTGTTGTTCATATCCACCGCAATGCTGAAAAAGAACGTCAGGTCAATCAGTCATGGGCGTGATTCGGGGCGTAGACGGCAGCGAGTAAAGTGCGCGCTCACTCGTGTTTCAGCGTGTTGATCTCTTCTGTCATGCGCTGGGAAAGGCCATCCACTTCTCGTTGCAGTAGCGTGGTGATGCTTCGTAAAGCAGCAGCGTCCGATCGAGCCCTGACTTGCAGCTCCGTCCGCAGCTCAGCCAGCGCAGCGTTGAACAAGTACGCTTCCTTTCCGAGTAACGGGGAAGAAAAACAAATCATTGTCAATCCCTCTTTTAAGGAAACAAGAACGATGTTTGATTACTCCGTGTATTTCAAATACCCTGCTCTGCCTGTCGCAGCCATCGCGTCTCCGCTCTCTTTTCCATGCCGGGCCCGTGTGATCCAACTCCGACTCACATTTTCAACCATGGTCTTGTTCAGGTTCCTCCTCAGCACCACTTCGCTTCGAGAACTGAGGAGAAACCGGGTAGCTTCCATGATGGCTTCCGCCGGATCATGAGGCCTTTGAACTTCATTCGAAGGCAATTGCTGTCTTTCCCCCTCTGACAAAGCCTGTTCCAGACCTTGAGCACTTGATGCGTGATCCAAGCTGTCTGATGCCGGATGAGGATCTGACATGGACGAACGACGCTTGACCCACCCTGCACTCATCAATCTCTGCACGAACGCATGGCTATCGAAAGGATGCACGAGAGTTCGAGGTTCGTGAGGATCCAATGCGACCGGTCTTTCCTCGTCGTTCGCTCGTGAGCTATTCAACTCTGAGCCCTTCTCGTTGATGGATTGACCGGCTTGACCTGCTGCCGCTGATTTGCCGAGGGAAGTCCCGCTAGATTGACCATCGCGAGAGGTCCCGCTCGCGCCTCCCGTCCTAAATATCCTCGATCCGCCCGAAGACATGCCCACTCCCATTCCGAGACCTGCAACTGTATCCTCATTCGCTCCTTCGCCTTGTGTCTTCGTTGAGCCAGCATCAGACCTCGAGCCTGCCTTGAGCCCGCTTGACTTGGCGACGTCGGACAGAGCAGACGAGAAAGGTGAGCCGACGGATTCGCCTGCTTTGAACGAGCTCGACTCGGCGCCACGACTGGAAGAATGATCAGTCCTGTTGAGCATAACGCCGTCTACTGCGGGTATTGATGAAAAAGCCTCCTTCGACCCTTGGCTCTGGCTTTGCTGAGGGGGTACAGCGGAGATGCTTGGAGATGCTTGGGCTGCAGATGGCGACGTTTGCGCTGCGGTACTAGAAGTCGTAGGAGCAGGGGCAGGAGAAGAGGCGGGATGTCTTTCTAGTCTTTCTTGCGCCATCCTCATCCTTCTCTTGAGCAGCTCTTCCGTGCTGAGCAGGCTGTCCGGGGCGGGTGTCGACATGGGCGCAGGCCCCGCACTGGAGCTCTGCGCGTTCCCTGCGCTGACATTTGAGGACTGCGGCGCCTGTCCAGACTCGCTCCCTGCCGCTTCCGCCGCGCTCGACTTGCCGCTCTCCCGATAGCTTGCCATGGATGGATCTCTTCTGTCAGTGATCCTCACACCTGACGAGGTTGAACTCTCAGCTTCCCCCTGTGTCTGTGTCTGTGATCCAGTGTCCTGCTCTTGCTTCGCCTCATCTTTTCGCTTCACATTTTGCCTATCCGCCGGCTTCTGCGCTGACTCTGCACGCTGCAGCCAAGAGGTACTTGTGCAGAGAGGTCTCCTGGGGCCGATGTCAGAGCGATCGACCGTGCTCCTTGCCTCGTCCAAGCGCTTGGTGCTTACACTCGCCCTAGCAGCTGGCGATCGAATAGGAGAGCGTGGTGCGGAGGCGCAACTGGACACATGCATGTGCCTCTTTTGCTTGGTGACAAAAGGATGTCGTGTGCACGCTTTTGCCAAGCGTCGGGAGGCACTGTGACCAGCAAACATGACGCTTTAAGGCAAGGCTCGGGGTCGGACTGCGCCTGTTCGAAGGCAACGCTGGCGATGAGCTGCGAGGTGATGGGCTGCTTGACCTCCGATGGCTTGCGATGCGAGCCGCGACGGCGTGATCACGGCGCAGTCTACTCCATTCGTACGTGCAGCGCTTTATGAAGGATGAAGTTGTTGTGGGAAGATGAGATGAACTTGGCACGAGCTGATCAGCAGAAGGCTCTTCGTATTGCTTCAACTCGCGACTCCGCGTAGCGCCCCTCATACATGATGCACCATGATGCTGCATGTGGTTGGCGCGTTTTAGACGGAAAGCCTCATAAGCGACACGTGACAAGATCTTGCCTGCGCGCCGAAGACAAACTTGAAAGACGATTACGGACTGACCAGCAGCAGCAGAGGCGGATGTGGAGACGCGCGTTTCAACGAGAAAGCACGAACAAGAATCAAATGTGATTGGGAGGGTGAAAATGAATCACAATGAAATGATTGCATTCGAGGAGGCAGAGCATCTTTGCGATTCAGTCTTGAGTTGCTGTATCACGGCATCGAGGTTGAATGACAGAAGAGACTTTGACTGAACATGTCATCATCGGCGTCGCGTTGCTCGGACAGCATGCCGGCTGGCGCGCGCAATGAGAGGCGGAGTCACGAGTGAGCATTCACATTCACATTCGGCAGCATCACATGGAAGCGCGCTCACAAGGTTGTTGCGGATCGATGGTGAATGTGTGTCATGAATCAGCAGGTGGCAACAGGCATCCCAAGACTCGGACTTTCATCCGCAGGTAGCGCCATATCCAAAGACCTTCATCAAGCTCTCTGGTTGCGCCATACCCAGCCATCCTGACACCTTTGCGGTCAAAGCGATCAGCGTCGAGCTTGATGCTTGATGAATCTATTTTTGCCACCACAGGCCCTTGCGCGGGAGAGGTTCATGCCCAGCAGGTGCACGAATCGGTGCCCCCTCACACTCTGTCGAATGACTTGATTGACTGCAATATAAAGCTCAAGTCGCGAGTCTAAAGGGAACTCCTTCCCCCAGACTGCATTCGCGATTGGATCGTCTTTCTTGCTCACACCTGTCTCATGCCATCTGGTCAAATTTGAGTCTCAGACAACACGAACCGAATGTTTCCCTCTTCATGGTGCAAGTTCATCATTTTATCTGCTCTGCTGCACAGCAGAGCAACCGGTCTTGCCATCCGCTCAGTCGGCCGAGTCTCGACTTCCACTCAACGTGCCCCGAGCATTGCTCGCCGAGGTGTGGGCAACGAAGCAGATGCTGTTCTTGGCGAGCATCTTGACCACAAGTTCCAGAGGCTCGTCTCTGCATCCGACGACCAAAGGCATGCTCCTCTGTCGTATGCCCCAAGCCCAACTCTCGGCGATATCGACGAAGCTCGAAAGCATACGCTGTTAGTCAGCGATACCGGTATGCCGGTCTACAGTTGGTCAAGGGACCACCAAGCCGAGAATGTTGGTATCTTGCTCGGCCTATTAGTGAGAGTAGCGCAAGGCCTAGACTGACCGCGCACAAATCGTCTCTGGTGATGTGCAACTCTGCTAGCATGCCGAGCATCCTTATCTGCACAAAGTGTCCGTGCTAGCAGATAGTGCAGAGCCAAAAGATGGACTAATGGCGTACCAAGCGCATACCGATCCGACCGACCTTGTAGGCAGCATGACTCGTGAACTCGGCGGGGATGCCGAGGTCTACAGATCTCACATCGACGATTGGAGAGCGCATCAGCCCGCCGTCACTGTGCAATTGCCCGCCGGCCGGAAACTTCGTCCCAGCCTCTTTTCCAAAGCGTTCGACCCACCAGAGATGGGCCGCTATCGACAGACGGAGGTTGACATGTACAAAGAGAAATGGATGAGACCGGAAATCTTGATGCGGGACAAAGGGCGCATCCAAAAGAAGCTTTGGCCGGATGAAGAGGTCATCCGGCAAGCTCATGCTAGTCGACGTCTCAAAGATGCGCAACAGCTTGAACGCATCAAGTCGGAAGACCCAGAAACAGTAGCGGTCGTTCATGATCGGCACCTTTCGACGGTTCAAGCTCGTCCTGTACAGACAGAGCACGCACACGCTCGAATTTCCGACCTCCAAAAGTCTTCGCCGCCCATTCAAGCACAGGAAAAAGGCGCCCTGAATCATCATCCCACCACGAAGCAGGATGACTCCGTGCAACTAATCCGTCCAGCTCTGAACACTCTTCAGGACGAGACGACGCGCTCGGAACAGATCGCCCAGATGCACGAGTCCGAATTGAAGAAGCCGCGCAAGTGGCAATGGTACCATGGCGAATGGATGGTCAACGAGTCTGCCATGTGTCCACATTGCAAGCAGTGGCCTTTGCACGAGAGGAGAACTTGACTTCCAACGTACGCTCGCAGACGTCGTGACTGTGAACGCGGCAACGAAACTTCACCAAGAGCAAATGCGCGGCTATCTGGACGGTGCGACACCTTATCGTATGCAATGTTGGGTAACGTCCACACAAAGCCGAGTGCACGACTCGTCATCGTCTCTTCGCCAGTTGTTCCTGTTCTCTCCGTATTCTTGTTAAATTTCGAATTTCCATCCACCCTTCTAATGTGAATGCTCGCTCCTCCCACACCCCAAAAATCTCCAGAGTGCTCCAGGATCTTTGAAATCGTGATGAATGACGGTGACGAGCCACTTGTTGTCGCCGATGGATTTGAGCAATCGCTGTGTTGGCGAGCCTTGCGGGAACAGCAATTCCCACTCTGCCCATATCTCAAAGGCTTCGTCCTACAAGCGCGCACAGAAGCAGTCATCGAGGCGGGCGGATGAGGTGTGAGCATGTCATACTCGACTGAACAGAGATACGAGGGAAAGCAGACGACGATACCCACACGCCAAGCTTTGAACGACTCTTCCTCGATGATCGTACTCTGCGCGATTTCTTGACCCGGGAAGACGCCCCACGTGACGGCGTTCACAGCATTGGGCTCGAGTGTCGTCTTGAAATTGCCCTTTGGGATGATTGCAGATTCAAGATTTGAAAAGCAGGAGAAAGCTTAGCCCTTCCGCCTATAATCCCATCAAGAATCGGCTAGCCTCACCTCTCTATTGCCCGCTAGCAAGCCAACGAGCCCATCAGACTCCTCCACTCGTCGACACAACGCCAGCATCTGCTCTTCGTCTACAAAAAATTCTACAAAGGCCTTTTGAAAGATGTAGCCTCCTTTAGGTCCAAAGCCGAACGTAGGCTCCAACGAGTCGACACCATCAATAGCGGGTTGGGATCCTACAGTCCACCATCCCTTTCCAATGGTGGAATGATCACCCTGTCCTAAAGAAGCTGATGGCGCTCTGTTGAGACTCAAGAGCTCTTCTCGGATCGCTTGCGTCTCGTTCAAGATTGGAATGTCACACCAAGGAATAGCCTGAATCTCTCCCGAGAGGTAGGCCACGAACAGCGCTGAAATATCGCCTTCCGTCACCGGTGTACGCCATACCCTCAGCGCATCGGCAGGCTGCGGTTGGAACAGGACAAGGGCAGGGAGGGTGACAAAGAGATGCACGTCAGTATGGACGCAGCGGAATTTGAAGAATATTGAGCCAAGTTTCCGCTGCTCTAGCTCTACTCGCGGCCCTCGCGGCCCTCGTCGCTCTGTGCTCTGTGCCAACACAATCCGAAAACTCACCGGCACCTTCAAGCTGACGCCATAGCCATCGATTTCCCCAAAAGCCGGACTTCTGCTATCGCCATAGCGCCCATTAGTGAATTCGTCCCACAAGGCTGCAGGAGCAGAGACACTTAGGGAATCATTGAGGGTGGCATGAAGTTTTGCCACGCTACGTGCGGAACCGGAATCGGCTGCGTTGGTCCCATTCGTGGCCAAGGTGTTCTCTGCGAAGGCCGCATCATGGGTCTGAGTTACCAGAGTCGCCATACAACAAGGCGACATTAGTACTTTTGCCAGGTTCGTTTTTGCCAGGTTTGCATTGGAGCGCAAAAGTCTCCACAAGACTCACAGATGCTTTGTTGGTCATTTGCGAAGGTCCAGCCCAGCTCAGGTCGTGCAATATTCTTGTGACGCTCTTTTCTAGATTGAGCGTACACATGTGGAAAGCCGCATGATTTCGATGCAAGGATTCCTCCATTGCACCTCTCTCCTCTCTTGACTTGACGCTCTCCCTCCACATCAGCCGGCACATTTCTCTGCTCCATTCTATTCCAACCTCTTTGACTCTGGCGTCGTCGTTCCTGACATTGATCTTATCCCTCTGCTCCTTTCCTTGAGCTGCTGCTGCACCACTGCTTTGAGCACTCGCAATCTCTTCAGGTGTAGGATCCTCCAGTCTCCTTCTTAGTTCCTGCGGCACTTGGATCTTGCACAGACCGGTGATGCGCCTGAAGGAGGTGTAATTCTGAATTGGCATAACACCCGGTATGATCGGAATAGTGATGCCAGCAGCACGAGCGTTGGCGAGCCAGGAGTGGTAGAGAGAAACATCGTAAAACAGTTGCGTCACTATAAACGATGCGCCAGCTCGCTGCTTGGATAGCAAAACTGGAATCTCAGCCTCTCCCGAAGGCGTCAAAGAATCTGTGTGACCCTCGGGGTAGCCTGTGGTGTAGAAGCTGCGAGGTTGGAAGCCAGGTAGCTGGCAGCGCTCGTGGTAAAGGGACCACTCACCCGCCACCCCAATCGAAAACCAGTCTCCATGCCCAGAGCGTATGTACCGGACTAGGTCCTCGGCATGTTGAAATCGATTGTCGGAAGGAGTCCAGTACTCTGAGCCTCGTGGAGGATCTTGTTTGCGCCGTCCAGACAGGGGAAGTTCTCAGGCACACTGGTGCACGTCCATGTCTCAACAACTTCCTAACCACACTCACCTCCTCTTAAAGCTAGCAGGTTCCGGATGCCGATCGCTCTCGCTTGCTAAAGGTGAAAGGCAGGACGACAAGGGCGGTCAGGCCTGCCACCGCTCGACGTCCCTCTCTTGAGACATCGAAGAGGCGTACGCCTACGCCATAGGCGCAACGTGCATGTGGGGTCTCTTTTGACCACGCATCCATCCCGCCACTCACCTTTAAGGTGATATCCAGCGCTTCTCTGCTGACGTTGGTGCAGGTAAGATGCAAACAGCATTCTGTTGCCAATTCATCGTTGGCAGGAGCTTCAACGATAGCCTCAATCTCTCTTTCTTCCAGCGTCTTATTCCTGCTTTCCCCTTCCAGCGACGGACTCTTCCACCTTGTCCAGTCCAAATCAGCGGGTCTGAGCAGTCCCTTGTGCACTCTGCCGGCAAGCACCATGCTGATATTTTGCGTGCTTCCGCCTGCTCCCCAAGTCACTTGCATCCAAGAAGGTCCGCATTGAGTTTTCATTCTCAATATCCGAGCATACAAGTTCTGTAGACCTGAAGATGTCTTGGGCGGGAAGAACTCGAGCGAGATGGCGGGTCGAGTAGAGGAGTGATGTGATAGAATGCTTGGAATGTGAGAAGGATGCGGGCATGCAGTTGATTTGGCAGGGAAGAGCGTACCACTGTCGCCGTGAAGTGCCCCATGGCTGCTCCCGACGTGCGCTGGGATGGCTTGGGACCCCGTAGCGCTGCTCGTACCCGCCGACATTTTCAAAGTGGTTGCTCTCAGAGGTGTAGGCGATCACGATCACGATGCGTGCGATGCGCGCCAAGACCAAGCGAGCTTGAACAGGGGTGAGTGGGTGAACGATAAGCTCGCGGATGTGGTTCGATCTGATGTGTCGGCGGGAAGGGAGGACATGAAAGCGTAGTATTGTCAAGACTCCAGAGTTGGAAGTCAAGTCTGCGGTGTGTCTTCTTGGTCCACCCTTTCACACGTCCTTCTGCTTCTGCCGTTTATTCGATGCGCATTCGTGATTGGTGATTCAGCAGGCGTGCTGATATACTGTAGGTGCGGCGCTAGGCAAGCCACCCTTCTTCTTGCACGCCTGCATGCAGCACCTGCTGCGAAATTCCAAAAAAAGCTCAGCGTCGTGTGACCCAAGGCCACAGGCTTTGATCACGTGATGGACTTGCTCTTCTCTCACGATCCTTGTTGGATGCACGACTCATCAACTCGAGTCTTCAGACTCTTGAACACGCTCTTGAAATAGCCAATCGCGTCGCAACATTCACAGATGGTCCGAATGAAGCGTCGCATGAACGCCGAAGAGTCGGGACACGGAATCAAAATCCCTCTCTGGCCTTTGAGAAGCATTTGGCTCATCCTCTAACTCTTTGGTAGTTCCTCATTGTAAGCTTCCACGTAGGTTGCCAGACTCGATCATATATATATTAACCAGAAATGGAGATGTCTAAGGGGAACCGATACGCTCAGCAAGACGAGCGCCAAACATGTATGTGTGTTCGGACTTGGTTCGGACATGACAGGGTTTGTGCACCTGATAGCTTTGCGTGGACGGTGAGGGAGCGAGCACACAAAGATTGATTTCATGCCAAAGTAGTTGCTGCTACTTCGTTGATTAGGACCTATCCTCCTTTAGCGACGGCAAAGTAGCCATGCGAATCTTTTGCGTTAATGACGACGAGAGATGGCATGATGTGAGCAGGGACTCAAAGGTCAATGGCTCGAAGCGCGTCAACGTCCACTTACATGGTGAGGCTGTAGATCGCAGTGATGGTCGGTCGTATTCAGTCATGAGCTCCGACTTGATCGGTCGAGCGGCGTTGCGAGGCATCGACTTGACTTGCGACGTTCTCCAAGGGGTCGTCTCGAGCTTCATGCCGGTCCTCAGTACCCGATCCATGCAGTCGGCGAGACTCCAAGACTTCTGTTGCGTACAAGCCACGCCTGACGTGGCGCATGCTAGAAAGCAGAGCGGTGATATGGCTGCCAAGGCTTCTTGGTACCTCTTCGCGTGCTGGGACTTGGTCGCCAATGACGGCTCTTCGCCAATTCTGGATGGCTGAGGCTTTGGTGTACTGAATAGCGCCAATATTGGACGGCCTGCCACTCTTGGTAGGGGTGATCTTGACCAGCTCGGTCGTCTCCTCGCGTTGGATGAGAGCCACGTCACGCTTGGCGTGATGCTCGATTTCGTGGCCAGAATGATGGCCAAATCGCCGAGGCACGCCGTAAGGAGCGGCTTGGACCTGCGTCAGAGACGCCAACATGGCCACAATGGCCAGGCTAGCTGTGACAATCAGCTTGAGTGTAGCAGGCATGTTGGTCGAGACTGCAAAGTGGGACTGCTTGGTGGACCGTCGACTTGCCGCAAGAGGCTCAAATGTGCGACGAGAAGATGGTGGGACACTGCGACGAGGCACCGCTCAGGAATGCAGATCGAAGCCAAGGGATGTGGGAGAGACGCAATGAGCTTGTGCGTGCGCAAATCGTGTAGTAGATGAAAGCGCAGGAGGAGCTTGTTGAGGGTGTTGTGGGATCATTGCGAGGGGCGTCGATTTCAGGGGCGCTATATAGCACGCAGCCTAGGTTCTGATCGCCTTCACCGCAGGCGCGTTTGATCATACCTGGACGCAATGGCGCATTTGAGTGCCTGAATCATGCCACGAGGACATGGGCTTCGAGCCACGCAAAGGATGCTATGACGAAGAAAGCCTGTGGCATTGCAACCACAAGTCTGCTCAACCGAGGTGAGCTCATCCCATATGAGTAAAAGACTGTCCGTTGGCACTTTGTACCTCAGCCTGTCGGGCCAAAGGTAACTAAACTCCTTTGCCCTTCCTCGACTCTCGCAGTCCTTGGTAGGAGTTCAGCAAGGACACAGTGTGGTGGCTGGCAAAGAGTGTTACTTCGGCGTCGTATTGCTATTAGTCCTGCTTCAGTGGTGACGACAGCACGCAATACCGAAAAAGGACCAAGATCCTTTTTTATTGCGTCGCAAGGCCCGTCGTGGCAGAAGACTTCTGCGATCAGCTCGGAGTGCTCGGAGATGGAAGGCAGAAGATGTAGACGTGGCAGGGGCTCTGACGCGATACCAGTCAGGACGGATGTAGGACGTTGTCCTGATCATGGTCTCACGCGGCTGCACCGTGTCACTCGCTTGTTGAGAATGAGGCACAGAATAACGGCGGCGTCTGTGGCAGCGCAAATGGCGCGCTGTCTGCGCTCGTGAGCTCGCACCTTCTCGTCTCTGACCCAAATTCATCTTTAGGACGCCAATGACGATGTACTGCGAACTGCCGATTGTTGCGACTCGATGAACCGAAAAGCTCACAATCCGAGCTGATGCCGAAGGCGCTGCATTACTGATCGCGATCCCGCGTCGCAAATCGAGGAAATCGCACCCATCGCATCGTCGAGTGGGGGGCTGCAAGGTTACAAAGGCGTCAGTGAAAGGGCCGAGCAGGGCAATCGAGGATGATTTGCGCGCGCTGGCGCATTGTCGGAAGGTGGCAAATCCTTTGCCTCGTTCTTGCGACGCCCAGTGGTCAATGTGCGCTGGCCGTGTGACCCGCTTGCAATGTGTTACGACCAGATAAAGCTGAGCAAAAGCCATCCTTGTGATTGCATTGTACGCAACTTGTGCCGAACCGTTGCGGGGCGACGTGTAAATGGAGCAGCCGGACGTGTGCAATGCCTCGTCCAATCTGCACAGAATTAAGGAGCACTTAGCAGTTTCGGCTCCAGGTGTTGATTCGGGCGTACGCCTGATCCTCCAGACGCGGGAAAGGCGCGTGCTTTGACGATACGAGCCGATAGCGCAGTATTGGAATCCGGGCATACGACTCGAGACTATGATCCCAGTTGTCGAGTTGGTACCGAAGGCGGTCACCAGAAGCGCTTGCTGTGACACGGAGACCAGTTCCAAAGGGCCCTGTTGGCGTAAGGCCACCGAGCACCTGTGACCGTACCGCACGGGACGCGGTAAAAGTATGCTCGCTGATTCGAGATGGTGCAAAGGTACGCTAGCATTTTCAAGGCGTAGCATTGATCTGCGGCTGCAGATGCCACGCAAGTTTCAGATACTGGACCAATTGGCGCGTCTTGGCCCTACATCTTTCTATAGGTTCATCTGCCCACGCAGTCTCCAACAAGAGCTCTTCCACCTGCTCCATCGTTTCCTCATTTTCGGCTTCCGTCCCATCCTTGTCCTGTGTAGATGAAGTGTCCACCTCCTGTAGAACACCGAAGAGCATTTCAGCAGTGGAGGTTCTAAGCGTGGGTATGCCCTCGGATGCCAGAAAGAGGTGCATCTTGTCTAGAATTTGCAAGCGCAATGCAGGTACTCGTAAGAGGTTGACGTTGAGCTGCATGCATGCTACTACCCTTTGCCGAGCTTTGATTCGATCAACGCTGCGTTGCACAAGGTTCAAGGTCTTGCGAAGTTGCTCGTCGGCCTCTGACGCCCTCGCGGAGCTGGGTAAGCTGTCATTTTGGGAATCAAGAATCCCTTCGTCACTGCCTACTGCCTGGCCAAAACGGGCTTCGTAAACCCCCGCTGCGAGAAGGGTGCTGATTGCTTGCAATGCCGGCACAAATGTCTGATTTGCCGCGTAATTCTTCACAGCTAGCTGATGAAGATCTTTCAATAGCTGCAGAGGAGTGTAAGGCTCAAAGCCCTCTACCTCGATCTTGTCACGGTGTGAGGTGGTTGATAGGGCGAATGTGGCAAGCGAAGACGCCACATCGCGATACTGCGACGATCATCTCATGGATAAGCTGCCCAGGCGCGCAGTGCAACATACAGCAAGCACTCACCGCCATCTCCGTCTTTGAGCCGAGACTCAGCACCAAGCCTTGCAAGAGCTCTCGGCGATATCGAGGGATGACAAGTAGCTCGGTCGCTCTCGGAAATAACCATGATGGCTGAGCTAGCTCTGCTGTAGTATCTCTGCACGCGTTCAATTTAAAGATTGGATGGTCAGTGCGTATCATAACCAAACCTACAACCACCTCAGCTAACCTCGGGAAATGCCGGTCTATTATCGCCATTCCTTCGGGCGTGTGCATGCCCCTGGCTTTCGCACGGTGATCATCGCTGGCATCTCGGCACATGCTCAGCAAGTGGGAGCCGGCCACGGCGCGCACACTATCGATGCGCTCGACAGTTTGTTTGAGCAAGCCTGCAACGATGTCGTGGAAAGTGTGCAGGGGCAACCACGCCTCAAACGATCTTTCCAAGACGAGGTGTTCAATGGATGTCCTGTGCAGGTCCACCAGCGTCCGTAGACCCGCCACACAGGCCAGACGTACCCACGAGCCCACGTCTCCTCTTTGGTCGGTCGTATAGTCGTTCAGACCTCTCAAGAGGGCCTTGAAGACTTCTTGACCCAATTCTGGAGAACACACTAGGAAGCGCACCATTGGGTTTGAGTGACTGTCAGGGCAGATCAGTCCTGTAGGGAAGACTCACAGTTGCCGAAAGTGGAGCCCAAATTCTGAACTGCTTGGACTAAAGCAGCGCAAGCGTTCTGCCTCGTCTCAATGACGGAGCTATAGCTCGCGCTCTGCAAATGTACTTCAAATCAGAATCGAAGTGCGAGGAATTTCTACCGCAGATACTCACCTGTTCATTCAGCAGGCTGAGCAAAAAGCGCATCGTTTCCTCGAATGCCTCGGGAAACTCTCGGAAGCAGTACATTCCCAGCACTCTTGTATGCCCTTGCTGTTCCGCCGCAGGGATACCTCTCCATCGCTCGATCGTGCTCTTGATGCGTGAGGTGCAGTCTTGAAATTGGCTGGCTTCTGATAGCGCTTCTGCCGCTGCAATCTGTGCTGAAATGTCTGATCGAGCAATGGCGGCACTGACAATGACTGACCAGCTGGCCTCGGTGGGCTTTGTAGCGGCAGCACTCGACAACGAAACTTCGTTTGCGCTTGACGAAAGCAGCTTGCAGGCTGCAAACAGGACCAGATTTGCGCCCATAGAGCGAAAGACACTCCTAGGTACAAGCTCGAGAGCTTTGAAAGCCTGAGACGGAGCCGACCAAGCCAAATCGGACTTCAGCATTCATTCTCAATACAAGACTCGCAGTGCCACTCACCTCGATCTTGATGGACTGCTCAAGCTCTTGCCCAAACTCATGCGAAGCCTTGCAGAGCTCGCTGAGCGTCAGAAGGCTACCGTGCAGCTGGGTTGCTTGTCCTGTGGAGCATCTCGTGCACTGAGAGTCGTCGTGGCGTCAGAACGATTTCGTTCGTTGGTGTCAACGTGCGCACTCACAAAGCCTTTGACTAAGAGGGGTGCAAGGTTACCGAAATCAACGCTCGCGATATTAGCAATTGCTTGAGCAGCCAGCTCCCGCATGTTGGGATCCCAATGCTTGAGCGTGATGTCTTGAAGATGTGTCAATAGACTCTGTCGGTAGACATCGTGACCAGCTACCAGAGGTGCGCATGCCAAGAAGGCATGCTTCCGAATGCTGACCGCATAAAAGTCCGTTTTGCGGATGACATCAATGCCGTGCGGAAAGATGTTCTGCGTTGCGCGTGAGGAAAGCCATGGCAAGGCGAGCGAGATACGTCAACTCAAGTGGGTGACCTTTGATGGTCCCACGTACTACTCACAAGCCTGCCTACACATTCCTGAAAGGCCGCACTCGCAGCTCTTCGAATGGACACATCTCTGTCAAGACAAGCCACATTGACCAGCCTCTGCGCCAAAGAAATGGCATGTGACCGGAGAGCATTGGCATCGTGCGCACGAGCTAGGGCCCAGAGCACATAACAAGCAGCGTCGCGCACGCCCGTGCCAACGGAATGAGCGCCTCTACGGACATCGAACAGTAGGGCCTTTTTGAGAGCGAGGCAGAGGGTTAATACCATGAAGATGTAGCAACACCCGACGCGTTCCGGCTAAGAGGTCCACCGCTGGCTCTACGCAGCACTTACCTTGCTGACCCAAATCAGCTTCTCATCCAGCTCTTCTGGGTTGAGCAAGCCTCGCCTCGCCAGCTCGGCCACAGCCAGACAAGCGCCGTGCCATGTGTACTCGCTGACGTTGCTGAGATCCTCTGCTTCTCCCAAATTGTCGACGACGTTGAGTTTAAAGAGGTCTGTAATCGCATCTGCTACCTGATCGGAGAAGGAGTTTGGCAGGCGTCCGCATATTCGTGCAAGGCCTTTGGCTGCCGAGTAGCGCACGACAGTGTCCTAAGGTGCGAGCTCCCCAATGTCAGCGCCAGCAGCATAGTCAGCAATGAAGATGAGCTCGACTCGCCTTATCTTGAAGGGAATTGAGTATCCTAGCTATGCATCCATCGACCTCCTCCGGAACTTCATCGCCACCTTGCTCTATTTCTTCCTGGTCGATTGCGTCTGAAGTAGCCATGCGCGAGGCTTCGAAGTTACTCGTCCTCAGTAGAGGTTGTGCTGAGGCATAACCGTGGACTCCGTGAGTCCATCTTTCCTGCGTTGCTTAGTCAGCCCCACTTCTCTCTCTCACCTTTCTGCACTCTCCTTCGTTTTCTAGGCTTGAGCAGCTTAAGTCCCAGTCTCGAGGTTAATTTGGTCCTGTATTTAGTCAGTAGGCTGTTACCAAGGAGACCTTCTCTGTTTCTGTCTTCCAGCACTTGCGGCACATCCGTTGGGCCTCCCGCTGGCGGAGCGTAGATGTCCAGGATGCTATTGATCGCACCAAGGTCATCGCCTAGCGCCGATGCATCCGACACCTTGACAATCTCGCAGAGAGAGTGCATGATCCCTGTCGCCTAAAAAGAACAAAAGGGTCAAAAGGGGTTTAACATTGCACACGGCTAGCAGCTGCCTGCTCACCAAGAGTGCAGAGGGTTGAGCGGGCGGGAGCAGTGTTGCATAGCACCAGCTTAGGTATGTAGGGAGATGGCTCGAGGCCGCATCGCGCCTAAAAAGGGAAGAAATGGAAAGGCGAAGGGTGAGAAAGGGACTCGAGAAAGCAGGACCCCATCTCCGCGCTCACCTCTGAAATAGCTTGCCCAGCAGTACGGCAGCTGCTTCCCGCTCTTTACCAGGAGCGCTAATGAAGGCTGTGCTTACGTCCACAAGCCTTGCAACAATACTGGCTCTCTCTGTAGCTCTCTCGATGCCGCCTGAGGAATTCTCGTTGCTCGTGGCTCCTTGATCGAACTTTTGCAAATCAAATGGAATCATGCAGACCAAGCTTAGCCAAAGCAACAGCGCGTACCTCAGCTCCCAAGAGGCGCCCGTACGTGGAGGTCCAGCTTGTAGCAATGCTTTGCTGGCATCTCCAGAGATGACAGTCTCGCCTTCCAAGAATTGCAATGCAGGAAGCAGGTCTTGAACGGTGTGAGGAAAGAAGCGGACTGAAAGGCCAGCACGGCGTCAGCGTTGCAACTACAACGACGACACCGTCATCCGACGCAGGCGTGAAAAGCCGGACTGGCATCGGTTTCGTCTCGTCCATGCGGCCTCGAGCCTTTGATCAGCGCGTCATCCGCCCACCACAGGCCTCATCTCCGCTTTCGGCTGTGAGCGTAACGCGCCCTTTCGTGTACTAGCCCACCCAGCAATCTTATGACTCCTTGCTCGAGCGACTCACCTATGGTCTTGTAGCCTCGAATTTTAGTGAAGATATACAACAGCTTTGAGATTTCGTCTAGACGTTTCACGTCTGCAGCAGGGCCATCCTGGAAAGTGTCTGCACCGTAGCGCCTCCTCACGAGGCTCTGAAATTGGTGGACCGTTGGCGTGACTATGCGGTCCAGGTACGGGTCGAGGAGATATGATTGTTCTTGGTATTGCTCAAGCTGCGGATTTGAGGCCAAACGTCCCTTAGCCTAGCTGTTCTCCTCCCACCAGGCATCTTTGCGACAACCAAGCAGGTCGCGCACAGACCTTCCCAGACCTGGACCGGTGCTCCAATCCCTTACCTCAGATGCTGAGTCGATCGACAGTCACGAGTGCCAGCAGCTACTCGGCGCCTCCTTTGACTCGTGCCTGCTATCCATCATGGTGCCCGTTCGCTCCATCATCATGATGAACGCAGGCACGCAACTTTGCCCCACGACTCCGTGATGCGGACATGACCAACATTTGACTCACGATAGCGACCAGCCTACTCAGATTCTCTTCCCCTCCGCTCGCCTTCGCTCCAGTCACAGATCTTGACGGCTTCTCGTTCTGACCTAAAAAGTCAGAGAGCACGCGGAAGAACTCTTCGGCAGATTCGAAGCTGTGCAACTGCACTTCATCTTCCGCTCCCAACTTTGCTCCGCCGAGCGTCGGATCGAACATGGAGTGTGCTGCGCCAGTCGCGCTTCCAGGACGTGGGCCCAAGTATGTGTATGTGCCGACGCAAAGCGGCTGCGGGGCAGGAGTCAAAGGGGCCGGCTTTGCTTGACCGACTCTGGTGTATGCTCCCTCGTATCCGTACTTGGTGATTGAGGCACACGATCGAGACTCGAGAGCCATCGTGCTGCAATTGAATGTGAATCAAGAATCGTGAACCCACTTCCATCCAACACTCGCCACTTCACCACGACTCACGACTTCCACCAGCAGCTGCCCGCCTCACAAATCCGCACGATTTTGATTGACGCGCACCAGCAAAAGCACGTGATCTTGACAGGATAGTCACGTGGTAGCTGAAGCCTCAACTCGAATCTTGAATCACACTGATGAATGCAAGATCCCTCCTCAGCTCCCCAACCACCAACGGCCGTGGGTGCAGTCGTGAGAGTAGTGGGACCTCCTTGATGAAAGTGAGAGAGGAACGCTTCTTGACTCTTCTGACTGCAATCACGCCTCCGCCAACGCGAAGGTCCTTTCACTGTGGTCGCGAGCGCGCCTCATGCATATCAATCACGAATTTGAATGTACATGGATGGTCTGAGACTGAGTGACTCAAGACTGCATCTTGGCAATGAATCACCATCCTCCTTGCGGAGCATAAGCGCGACACTCGTGACTCCGCAATCTCTACCGTTCTGGAGCTGTTGGACGGATCGAGTGCGAAAAGGTGCTTGACAGCCTCTTGACATTGGTCGCTCTAGTGAGAAGGACTCGAATTGTGACTGCCCAAGACAATCACTAGCAGGTGGTGGGTGCTTTTGGGTCATTTGAGAATTTGCATCAAAAGTCCGCGGTCCGTTCTCCGTACCCGCGGTGGCTGGGTCCATAGGAAGAGGCTCACCGCGCTTCGACTTCGACGTTCAATGGGGCTTTGTGATTTCGCAATTAATTGTCACACCGGGCCGTCTCATGACTTGCGCGAAAGCAGAGGTAATGCGCAGCCGAAGGCACATATAGTCAAGGTGCTCCCATAGCCATACCATCGACACGTTGCCCCCGGGCCGCATACAGATACCCCACTCCGATGGCGGTCACCTACATTCCCATCGTCTTTGATCAATGGACAGCCCCAAGCGAAGCGAGATCACCAGCATAGTAGCAATGATTCAGTACTCACGAACGCTATGATTGCAACGGTGTCGAGTGGTGAGGTGACCGGCTGTGCGCTGTGAGGGAATAGACGCAGCATGTGGAAATGGATTCGTCAGCTCGTCCTATTCTGCTCGGGTCCAACTTTGTCCCTGATCAGTACACCGCCGGGCCGAGCGACAAGATCATTTATCGGTTCACTGCAACATTTACGAATGGCTGCATGACACTTTTACAATTTGGAAAGTCTTCTTCCTCTCGTAGAGGGCAGACAAAGTGGCCTGAAATCGCTCGGCTCCCGCCACAAAACACTCTTTCGACCTTCGAGCGTGCCTTTCGTACCCTGCGTCGGACATGGAAGCCGCGGACCACTGAATCATCTCACGGTCCCAGGGCAGTCGGAAAGATCACTGGGCTTAGTCGTACACATTCGAATCCAACCATAGGAGACTCTTCGGATACCACATGTCTCATCCAGGCCGAGCAGGCTATCAGTCCCACAAATGAGGCGCAAATAGAAGTCGCCAAGGTACATCGCTTAGGGCAGAACCCTCCAGCTACAGAGAAATGACAATTCAATGAGAGTCAAGAGGGGAAGAAAGGCGAGTACGTCGTTCGGTCGGGCCTCGTCACGTCCAGAATCACGAGTCAAGGAAGCAACAAGTCGGAGCCTCCTTTTCCTTTCCTCATTACATGGGGCTCCCTGACTGAGACACATGTACAAAGATACGTGACCCGTTCCCTCGAAAGCCAAAGAGTGATCATCAGGCTCTGCTCGTCGACCATCCAAGCGTCTTGGGCTGCTCGAGTCGGCACCCTGCATTCCTGCCAAGACCCGCACGCAAAAAAGAAGCTTGCCCGCCATCAGTGCCAATTGCAGCGATCAAGATTTCCTGTTGCAAACTTGAAAATGTCCCTGGCACGCATCAAGCGCTTCCCCAACATAGCGTTGCGAAATCTCGTATTTCTCTTCCAAAGACCTGCAAAAACTCAAGCCGAGGATGAGAACGGCGACGCCCCCCTCAAAGCACGCAACCCGATCACTATTCTGGCATCGTTGACGTTGCAGCAATGGGGCTTCTACACAGTCGCTTGGGGAGGTTGGATCTTCGATTCCGTCAGTTCAGTGTCGTTGTGCAGCAGCCGATACACGGTGGTAGGATGATGGGAGAGGATTTTTGCAACTTCATAAAGTCGGGCTTGAGCACTGAAATAGCCTTCTTATGCGCTCAGTATGACTTCAATGTTCTCGCGATACAAACCACCAAACTGTCAAGATATTATCATGTATGTCACGTCTTGGAGATGACTCGTCAGCGCGTCAAGAACTCTGACTTTACCAAGGTCCAATTGCAGGTGGACAAGACCCGCATCGCAGACGCAATCACTTTCACATTACTGTTCAGGCTCATCGGCGCCCTGATCTTTGGTGAGCGCTTATTTTTGAAACGGCAGCATGCTGCTGCTGTATTTGGGGCTGAAACCAAAGCTCAATTGGGTCTTGCGTGTCGTCTAGGCATAGTCGGCGACTATTACGGGCGGAAATGGCCATTCGTGAGACCTACTCGACAGTAGGACGTTTCCTTTGACTATCCGCTCACTCGCCAAACGCGCCGCTCACAGGCCATCAACATGTGGCTCTTGGGCGTCTTGCAAGTGAGCAATTTTCTGATTCGATCCGACGGCATCAAGCATCCGCTGATGATGGAGCTCGACAGATCGCGACGGTCTACACGGAATCTTATGGGACCTTTGTAGCAGTGCGAAGCTTGTTTGGCGTGGCTATGTGAGGGCCGCAAATGTCTACATAAGCACAAGAGCGCGGCAGCTACACACTGACCATCCTCGGCGGATCTTGCAGGGGCGGTGTCTTTGGCGGAGCTTGCGCTATGGCGCTGGAGAACATGCCAGTCGAAGCTAGAGGCTTACTAGGTGGTGTCTTTCAAGAGGGCTATTCGGTCGGGTGCGTCTGCTCAGAGTCTCGTGAGGCTGAAATGGACGACAGACGCGTCTATGACTTACAACAAAAAATTCATCTTCATGCAATTGCACGGCCAAGATACATCGTTGCCGCTGTGGGAAATCTGATCGTGGGAGGGGCAACAAACTCTTGGAAGTCGCTCTTTTGGTTCGGTAAGTTGGACTTGACACATTGGCTCTTCAATGCCATGCCGAGTGATTGTCTCACTCTATCTATGCTCTCGCGCCGGTCCAGGTGCGGGTGGATCGTTCCTGTTTGGCACACTTCGCCTAGCATTGCCCGAGTCGCGACAATTTCTCGAAGCCAAGTCGGCTGGAAGAGGAGGCCAATCGACGCGCAACTTTGGGAAAGACACGGTGGCCATGCTCAAGGTACATTGGCCCGTCGCTATTTACTGCGGTGTGAGGAGCGCGAGTTTCCATTTCGCGAGACAGCATCGTATCATGCTCTGAAGTGATGTCTCACGACTTCGTACAGATCTTTATGACCATTGTCAATTTTTGGGGCCACACGTGTGCAGACTCGTATACCGCAAGTATAGTTCCGGACTTGTCTGGCCCAGCACTGAGCTCTCTGAGTGCTGATCCCCTCTTTTTGTTCGCAATAGACTTTCATGCTCACAGGAAAACAGCTCAAGAATGGGCCTGCGTCGCGTGCGTCAATCTGGATGAAGACTGGAGCCGTCTTTGGCGGAACAGTGATGGGTTACTGCTCGCAATGGCTGGGTAGAAGGCGCGCCATCGTGCTCTCGGCTCTGATATCCGGCTTGATGATTCCTGCTTGGATCCTGCCCAACACCTTGGCAGGACTCGTCGCCGGCGGGTTCTTTCTTCAATTTGTGAGACCGTCAATCTTTGAATAGCAGCGGAAGCTCTTTCGGCGGGAAAGGAATCAGGAAAAGTTTCTAAAGTCTTCCGCTTTGCCTCATATGAATCCAACCAGTTTCTCGGTGGCGCAGTCGGCATCGTGCCTGCCCATCTTCAAGAGCTATCACCTCCTCAATTTCGCGCCGTCTTTGTGGTGAGTCATCGTGCCAGTCATATCCGCAAGAGTGACGCTCGGGAGCGAACTAAGGGTAACATTCTCTCTATTGTGCCGCATGTCTCAGGGCATGGCGTATCAGCTGGGTAATGCCATCGTCAGTCTTTCGTACATCCAGACAATTCACCATAGAGCATAACCTGACGCTGTTGTGCCATTCACTTTAGGCTTCGCCCGCCACCCAGATCGTCAACGATTTGGCCGAGCACCACTTCAAGAGTACGGGCCCGGATGGGCGCTCAGTAGACGGGTGAGTTCCAGCGCATCCGTCAATGCTTCAGCTTCGAATCGAATCGAATCGAATCGAATCGCAGGCGCACAACATCTTCCCGTCCATCTGGTCCCCCATCATCCTCATCCATTCTCTCCTCTTTCTACCTTGCAATCCTGCAACTCGTTGCCGCGCAGCTATGGTCCAGTAATGGGCGTAGCTACGGCAATCTTCGCAAGTCTGATGGTCCTATGGACCTCGATCGGTCCCGAAAACACCGGTTCGCACTTTGAGCGTGCAAGGGTTGCAGGAGCCGTTGGCGTGTCGGAGGAGCTCCCTTCTTACAAAAGCGACCCGGCGCACCCGCCCAAAGTAGAGGCGCAACCTATGGACATTCTAAGTCCTGTACAGCCAGCTGCTCAGGATGACTCCGAAGGCTCAAGTCGAGAGTGAAATCGATCGCACATTAGCCCTCTGGCAGGCTCGCACAAAGTTGCCCTTGAGAAATGCACGTGCCCGTTGTGAGCTAGAACAGCGACATTCCTCGGGACCAGAAACATGTATTGAGAAGCGTAACAGACCACGTAAAACGATCTTGAGAAGAATGGACCATCTGCCAGACGAATGGAAGAGGAGGTGTGTGGTTCGAGGCGGGAGTCTGCAGAGCATCCGTATATGTGGCGTGACGGCATCACAAGCAAGCTTAGTGAAGTTTGGACGGGCCAGCTTTGCTACTACTAGGAGCATACCTATTCTGGCCCACTAATTCATTAGCCAACCTGCTCGAAGGTCTTTCCTTGCTCTGCATCGATCCATTGCTCTGCACTGGCATTTTTCTCTTCTTGCTCCGCTGCGCGTTGCTATCGTTGGGACTTCTCTGAATCCTAACGCCACTGGACTTGATGCCCATCATCCGATTGTACCTATCGATTTCTTCCTGTCCCAGCAGATCGTTCCTATTCCACGTTCCCGAGCTAGTTCGCGGTCTCCTGATCCTTTCCAGCTTCGTAGCTTCCTTCGCAGGCGTAGCTCCCGTATCCGTTTCGAACCAATTCTCCAGGGGCACGCTAGCCTTTGGGATACCAAACAATCCATCCGGATCCACGTTAGCCTGAGCTCTGAGCGCTTCTTCCAAAGCTGCTCTCTCCCAAGGTTTCTCTCCCGCCCTCTTTTCTTGCACATCCTCATCCTCCGACTGGGAGTATGCCGAATCGGGATCGGACAGCGATTGACCCGCTTCTTCCTCTTCCTCCTCCCCCTCCTCCTCCTCTTCAGCTCCGGCCTCATCAGCAGACGACACGGCTTCTTCCCAAGCTCCAGATTCGTCCGAAACCTCGGGCGTCGCATTTTTCGCCATCGAAACGTGTTGAGCCGCTATGCTTTCCATCTTCGAGCTCGTACCAGAACCACTCGCAGGGGGTCTCACGCCCTTGGCTTGCTGAAACACGTTGCCGTTCGACTTGACAGAAGTCGAATTAGCATTCACAGCGACCCAATTTGCTCCGCCGTTCCTATTGACGCTCTGCGAAGAGTTGGATGTCGTCGGTCCGCCAAATCGGATAGATTGCGCAGAAGCATTGAAGCCGCTCGGAGGTCGAACGGCAAGGGAAGAGCCGGGTCTAGCAGGTTGCGCCTGCACGTTGGCTGGTCGATTGGCCTTGATGCCGTGCGTACTGGGCGCAGGCCTGACGATATTGCTAGGCGCTTTCACCTTGGCGGCGGCGGCGGCAGCAGCAGCATTGGCCCTCTCCTTCTCCCGTTCCACAAGAGCAGCTTTCCTCCTCTCCTCGACCTGTTTCTTTTTCAGCTCATCCTCCTTCTTAGATGCTGCAGCAGCAGCTGCTGCTGCTGGCGCCTTGCCCTTGCCCGTCGGCCCATTCTGAGAAGAGACAGACGCATTCAGAGCGTTGCTTGGCGCACCAGGTGCAGTTCCGCTGACATTCGAGTCGGTCCGTTTTCTCGGCGGCGTTGCAGCGCCAGCAGCCTTGTTGGCCATAGCCAGAACAGAGCCGGGTCTCGCAGGCACAAAAGCGCCACCATTCGAAGCCGCAGGAGCGGAGGCTGGAGTATGCGCGTTAGTAGGATGAGCACCCGCGGAGGACGTTGCGTTTTGAGCGTTGAGTCCAACAAACCCTTTGACCTTGTCGAAAAAGTTCCATCCTTGTCTGCTCTCGTTCGGATCGCGCCCAGTCGAAGGTCCACTCGTCGAGGGCTGCGCAGCACTGGATGCAGAGGCAGATGCTGGCGTTGCGCGAGTCTTGGATGTCGCGCTGGCGGCCGTGCCGGGCTTGGCCATGCTCTTGCCCATGAGATTGACGCTGACCTTTGGCATCTGCGAAATAGGTTTAGGCGGAGGCTGGGTGTTGGACGGTACTCTGACCTGCTCTCGAGCGCCGGCTTGAGGTACTGTGCTTTCCTTTTTCTGGACTAGAGGAGCCTTCGCAACTGATACTTGTGCTTGTGCGGGCTGAGTCGATGCAGATTTGATGTTTTTGAGCTGCTCATCCGCCGTCCTGCCAGCTGAGCCGAGCTCTCCAAGCGTCATGTCAGCCTCTTTAGTGTTCACGGCCAGAATAGCCTGCTTGCCAGCACCTGTGCCCAACTCTTTGTCCAGCTCCTCTTCATCATACGCAGACATCACTTCATCTTCCAGCCCCTTCTCGTCCTCTTTTCGGAGTGGGCGACTTTGCAGCGTGAGCACCGGAGAGGCGCTCGGTGTAGTGGATGCGGCTGCAGTTCTCGAGCTCGTGATAGAAGCAGTAGGAGCATCCTTCGCCGCATCGTTCTGCGAGGCAATCTGAGAGCGTTGATGCTCAAAGGTCTTGCTGTGAGCAATGTTGCCGAGACCAACTGCGGTCATGCTCCGAGGGTTGGCTGCAGATACGGCTGTACCAGCAGCATGAGCTGACTTCGTTGTAGAGGAAGGCATGAATGCGCTGGACGATGCAGGAGGAAGTGCAGCATGTACATTCATATCGCTAGCTCTCTTGACCTTTTCTAGCCTGCTCAGGACGGACGTCGGTGCTCTGTGACTTGCAGCTTGTTGCTGCGCCTGCAGCTGTTGGCCGTTGACGCTACCTGCCGGCTTGCTAGACTTGGGCGGCACGACTACATTCTTGGACAAGACGCTCGTCGCGTTCATCTTGGTGTTCGCCATCATCTCTTCATCGCTGCTGTCCTCCTCGTCCTTCTCCTGGCGTGCCTTGTTTTCATCCTTCCTCACGCTTCTGAACAGACTGCTTCGAAATATAGAGGTGGCAGGAGCTGCAGGGGTCGTAGCATTCTGCGACTGAGCAGCGCCGAGGATGGTCTGATCCTTCTCCTTGTCTGTCGACGCTGTCCCGACCGCAGCGATGGATTTCTTTGGTCCGACGTTATCACCCAGCGTTCTCTTTGGCGCTTTCGGTCTAGACACCGGATCGGCACGCGATTGAATTTGACCACGAGTTTCCGAGATCATTTGGGCTGCACCATCAACTTCCTTGGCGTGTGCAGTAGACCACCCTTCTTCATCCGCCTCTCCATCCTCCGTGTATGCGGTCCCATCGTCGACCAGACTGATGTGCAGACTATCCTCCGCCTCCGCAGCTGCTGAAAGTGCACGTCCAGAGTTCGAGCGTGGCAGCGCGTCGGGGGGAGGCGTGGAAGCCTCTGGATGTTCGCCGTCTTGCATCTCTACATCCTCGTCCGCATGGCTCAACGAGACATCCCTCGAGATGGACACATGGCGCATGTCCTCCTTTCGAGGTTGGATCTCAACAATCGGATCTGTAGCGGCTTGCGACATCGACGGTGGTGCCTCATCTTCTGCTTCCATGGCAGCCTTTGTCGCGCGAGTGCTCCTCTTGAGCGGTGCAGTTGATGCCTCTGCATCTCGTTGTTGCAGCTTCTGTTCCGTCTTGGTTGCTTTGCTCCTCTTGCTCGGCTGCTTTTCTGTTGGCACCTTGGATGCCGGATCAAGCTCGTGGTCCGACAGCTCGGCCTCATCAGACGACCGTTTCTTCCTCGAGCTGCTGGTGGACTTGGCAGACGGTGCCGCGCCTGAAGACGCGCTACTCGCGGCTACGGGGTCAGAGGAGGCAGGCATGGAAGGCTGTTTGGACTCCTGGTGAGCCTTCTTGGACTTGCTCTGTTGAGACACTGTGCGAGGCTTCTTCTCCCCCCTGCCGCTCTGAAAGGGATTTGGCAGTTTTGGCTGAGCAGACTTGTCCGATCTGCTGCGCGTGGTGGGCAAAGCGGCCTTCTTGGGCGACGCGACGAGCTGCTTTTCTTGCTCTTCTGCTTCCACATCAGCAGCAGCGTGGTGCACGTTGGGTCGCATCGCCTGTCGAGGCGTGTTCTCCTTGTCTTCACCAAACGCTCCACTCCTGAGCAGCGATGCGGATCCGCGCACAGGAGAGCTCACACCGCTCTCACCCGTCGAGCTGGAAGAGAATGGGAAGCGAAAGGAGCTGACGGAAGCTTTCTTCTTTGGCGACTTGAGCATTTCGCCCGCCAACGCCAACGCAGCAGTCTGAGCCCTGAGAGACTGACTCGAGCTCTTCTTCGTCTTGTTCTTGGCATGCTCGTTTCTGTTGCAGATAGAGCACCCGAGAGAATCAATCAAACTCTGACATGCATACAGCGTGGGATGTGTTCTCACTAGCCCACTCACTTGTACTGCTCAAACACATCTCTGGCATGCTCGACCATCAACTCGGCCCATCCAAATCCATTCTCTAGACTCTTGTCAAAAGAGTGCAGATCGCAAGTGGATCGCAGCTCGTTGATGTGCTGCAACAATCTGTTTTCTGTCGATGCGTCCATCTTCGTCATCGAATGCTTGTGGGAATGTCCGGTCTGACGCTACGATGTGTTCTCTACCAGCGCAAGTGAAGCTTGGCGCGTGGATGATGGCTCAGAGTGTGTCGGTGCTGTATGCCAGCGCTTCGGAGGATGGAGATGCTGCAAGCCAAGTCAAGGTGACTTTCATCAAACCCGAGCTCGACTGCCAAAGACCGTGAGTGCGAGTCGTAAGTTGTGAGCAAGGGAAGCCGTGCCGCAACAGAAGAGCGCACCTGAGATGCGGATGTGCTGGTCGTGAATGAAGCGCTGTCTGTAATCAAGCGCAACCAGCATGCAACGCAAGCATGCGAGGCGAGCAAAGCACGCGTCGCGCGCACGCCGGAACAGCAGCGGCAGGTGTTGGGTCATCCACCACCGACGCGCAGCAACACGTGATGCTATCCAACGGTCACGTGAACTCACGTCTCCCATGCAAAGCGCGGCTCCACTCATGACGCGTTTTGTGGTTTAGTTTTCTCGACTGACTTGCCTGGCCAGGAGAATCCCTTTTCTTCCATCACCATGTTGCTCGCACGCACACGATGAAGAACCTCAATCTTGAATGAAGGAATTCAGAGTCGAGAGCTAGTGATCAAGCTCAGGCGGTGTGTGGGCGAAATTTCTGAGCAGCTAGTCGAGACAAGAAGAGCTGCGGGCTATCTGGACTTTCACAGAACCGCTTACGAAGCAGTGGAGCGGCCATCTGGCCCAGGCATCATCCTGTGGGAACATGTAGCTCTGTCGTTTCTCCATGCGCGCATCACCACATCATGTCTCGCTGGATTGGCCCGTCAAGACGGAGGGATGCAAATGTAGCTCCGTGGTCCGATCGACCTACGCCGGCTCAAAGCGACGCTTCAACGTTCGAGGCGTACATAACGGGCGCCTCTTCATCCGCTCCATCGCAGGATGCGACATCGACTTCGGAAGCGGGAAAGGTGCCCAATTTGTCTCCTGCTGCACTCCAAGAGCTCAACATGCTTCGGCGTGCCGGCCACGTGTATCAAGAAGCGCTGCGAAGGAACAAGGACGTGCAAGATTTGCTCAACAGAGCTCTTGTAGCTTCTGATTTGGACATTAAAGAACTGCAAGATCTCGAGGTGAGTCGTCAAATTGTACCAGCCACGTGATCTTAGGGAATGACCACGAGCTGACGGAGGTGTTGCATGGTATGTATGCATCTCTTTGCAGACATCCCTCGACTTTGCTACATATCTTGCGGAAGAGGGCACAAAGAAGAGAATCGTCGAGCAATCAAATCCTCCGCTCTTGCCCCTATTCGACGAGCTTGACGCCGAGGTGAGCGCAGATGTATCGTCGCGAACAACAGGTTACGCAGCCATGCCATGGTACGTCAGTGAGATGCTCACGCCTTTTCCTTCTGGCCCAGATACCGGTTCTGCGGAAGGACTGTCAGGATCAGATGGATCTTCGAGATTTTGTCCTGTCGAACCCATGTGAGCTATTTCGAAAGCACGCGCCGCATGCATGCACCTCAGACTGACGCACCTTCTTGCATGGCAGGGTCAGAGGCGGAGTCTTTGAGGTTGAAAGAGGTGACGCTAAAGGAATGTCAGCGCGCCACATCTAGAGTTCTGTTGTCTCGATATAGAGACAGAGTGTGGTCTCAAGTCTCTTCCAAAAGTGCACCGGACGTGATACAAGTCTCTTTACCCGCCTGGGCTCGCACGCACAAGACCCTTCTCAATACTGGCCGATCTGGTCTACGTGAGGACGTGGAGACGGATGAAGAGGAGGAGGACGGATTTGATTGGGAGCATGTCTCCAACCAGATGGGCTTGGCCAAGACGCCAGAAGAATGCAGGACTAGATGGATCATGAACGACAGGCCTGGAATAAGCTCCGATCCTTGGAAAGATGAGGAGGTGAAGCGCTTAATTGGGATTGTACAGAGGTTGCAGGGAGCAGAGGAGGACTGGGATTGGGAACAAGTGGCCAAGGAGCTGGGAGTGAGTGTGCAGGTGCCATGAGCTGAGTCGCCCTACCTGCGACCATCGCGAAGCTGATCTTTCGCTGCGCTCGCCCCCGTACATCAGACCAATAGGATAGGCTCAGAATGTCTCATGACGTATGCCTGCAACGACGCTAATCCCGCGAATGAGAGCCTCGACTACACCAAGGAAGAGGACCTCAGAATCCTTCAGCAAGCTCAAATTTGGAGCGAGTCGTCGTCCTCTCTCGGTGAGCTTGTCTTGGCCGTGTTCCCTATTCCTTTCTGCGGTGGACTCATCCGCTGATCCAGCCTTTTGCGTCTTGGCGGGTCCTGGCTCCAGTGGCAGAAAGATCTTGTCCGCACAGATTACCTGTCAATTTGTCCCTGCACTACGCTCATAAGCTGCGAGCGGCTACTCAGGAGACCTCACCCGTGAGGTGGGAGGACGGGAGAAGACACGAGATAGTTCTTCAATGCGTCAAAGTCCAAATAGAAGCGTACAACTCTAGGGCCAAAGGGTCGAACGATCTGCTCGGGTTGTCACTTCCAGCGGCAGCTGTCGAGAACCTGACGGGCAATCGCGCGATCCGTCAGCGGATCAGGAACCACTATGCCGCCTTGGCTGAAAAGCTCAACTGGCACGAGGTGGCTAGACAGGTGGACGGCATGAGTTGGAAAAGGTGCAAGAGGCATTGGATCGCCCATTTCGTCGAAGTGGGCATCACGCAGATGTGTGAGGACGTGGAAGCGGAAGGGGGCGTGAATAGGCCGCAGCGCGAGGCGAAAAGGAAGAGAGAGGAGTGGCAAGACGACGCTTCGACCCCTGGAATGGAGGGACGACCGGAGGTGGACGCTTCGGTTCCAGTCCTCCAAACGGAAAGACCTTGGGCCCCTCATGTACGTATCCCCATCCTCAATACGCTTTGGCAGCACGCGCGAAGAAAATGTCAGACCTGACCTTGAGCACCTCTTCTCTGTCTTACGACGAACGCAACGCAGGAAGACGCAATGATACACAAGTACAGACCAGGCAAGCGGTCCAATGCTGCAATCGCAAAGATGTTGCGGACAGGTCGAAGCGGAGCCGAAGTGAGTCTTGCTACTTCTTGTTTTCTTGGTTCACATAGCGTCATTTGCACCCTCTTCTCACCGGCATAGCTTCTGCTGGATCGTGCAACAGGTGGCGGCGAGGTGGGAAGTACTCAAAGCTCGGGCGCGCGATGCAAGTGCAAGACAGCTGGAGAGCGCCCCGAGTGATCAAACAAGCTAGGTAGGAGTGACCCCGAACCGCAATTCCTCGGCTATTCATTCTGCTCCAAATGCTAGGCCTGCCGGTATGCCGCGTGCTTCGCAGGCTTGAGCAACGCAGGCGACGTCGATTGCGCTCTTGAGCAGAGTTCAAGAAGAAAACAAGGCGCGCAAGTGACATTGCATACGATCTGGAATGGCGACTGCAGAGGATCTCGACGATGCGTATCCAAGACTCCTCTTGCATTCAGGGTTGCGCCACATTATGTCGGGCTGCTCCGCCGCCTACTTCAGTACATTCCCCAGAGTCTCGGAAACACGCCGGTCGCGCCGAGTGCAAGTGGTGTTCTGTATGTCATGTGAAGTGCAACGCATTGACATCAGATTGAGCGAGTACACTGTAGCGGGAGGAAACAGCTGGACCAAAGCAGCACGAGCATTAGGCTATCTGGAGCAACAGGAGAGGAGACAGTGGGAGGCAAATGGAAGAGAGAGAAGGAAGAAAGAAGAGCTTCAAGAAAGATTTGACATACGAGCTCGGCCGCGCTTAGGCACTCTTGGCCTTTCGGGTGAATGTCTTTCCATCCCAGCTGCTTTGGTCCCATTCGACGCTCTGCAGAGCTCCAGCAGTGGAGTTCCGACCTCCATTGATGGGTCTGGTCAGCTTGTTTGCTCCCTTCTTGACCTCGAATGTGGCCAAGAGAGTCTCGGGCGAAGCGCCATTATTGTTGTCGTTGATGGCCCAGTATTTGGCCGTGGTGGCACTGGGAGTAATGTGCAGGGTGAAGTAACCTCTGTGTTCGCCTTCAGCAAACTGTGCGCGCAATGCAAGAATTCAATATCAGCACCGGTATCGAAGCGGAGGGGATTGGTCAAAGCGGTCATTGTGATGCCATCGAAACTGACCTGCAAGTTCTTGTTGGCCTGCGTGAGCTTTTGCGCGCGATCGGCGTATCCGGCCTTGCTCAGACTTCCGTAGCTGCTGGAGCTGCTGACGGCGGTGCCGGCAAATTCGACTGCGATTGCGCCTTTGCCAGTCACTGGATCGTAGATTTGCTCATGGTACGGATCCTCGGTGTCAAAGACCCACGCTGCATGCGAATCGCCTGCAAGAATGATCACATTGTCCGTCTTTTTAATGGCATCGTAAAAGCGACCTCGGTTTGCCGTGTATCCGTCCCAAGCATCGTAGTTCAGATCGTTCTGTACGATTGGGATGGGGATTTTTGAATGAATTGGCAAGCAATGGGAGAGGAATAACGACGATCGATGCAAAGAGGCATCATTGACATACCTTGGTAAGCTTGAGTTTGTTCAATTGATGTACCTGGCTGGTAATGATTTGTTGGCCAATGATCTGCAGGTCGCGACAATGTCCCAAAGTCAGTCGACTTGTGCTGGCCTACCGTCACGAAACTCTTTGCTTACCTTCCAGGTGGAGCGAGAAGCAGCGAGCTTGTCGTAGAGCCATTTCTCTTGCTTTCCGCCCATCAAACTTCGAGCGGTGTCGTTCGAGATGCTCTCGATGTAAGGCGTGTTGTAGTACAAGTCGGTAACATCACGATCGTATTGTCTAGTGTCGATCATGTTGAGATCGGCCAATGTTCCGACCTTGAATTGCCTCCAAATTCGAAGAGTGTCGGAAGTGTCGACTTGACGAATAGGCATGTTCTCAAAGTAAGCCTTGACTGCGTTCCTCTTGCGCTCCGTGAATCTGACGCCACGGACTGGGAATGTGTCGTTGCCGTCGGCAGTCCCAGCCTTGTAAGCTTGATCCGCTACCTCGTGATCGTCCCAGACGGGCAACCAAGCATTGCTGGCTCTGAGGTTTCTCAGGCCCGCGTCGATTCTGTGATAGGCCTTGTAGCGTGTGCGATAGTCGTCCAGTGTAACAATTTCATGGTCGGGCTCCATTTGTCTGCCAGGAGGAGCAGATATTCTAGCTCCGGACTCGTAGATGTAGTCTCCGACGTGTAGCACGTAGTCCAGCGAAGATGACTTATCATAAGCTCGCGCGTAGGACGCAAAAGAGCCAACGGGAAGGTTCGAACAGCTGAACACTGCCAAGTCGAGGGAAGCAACGTTCGAGTCCGTCGGTGTGGGCATCGTCTTGAAGTTTCCCACGGGTGAAACGGATGCACTACCAGCGGACTTGTCAGAGCTCAAGAAGCGATAGGCATAAGTTGTCCGTGCTTTGAGCTTCTTTGCCTCCACCTTGACGCTAAGGAATGGAGTCGCGACTCAGGTCAAAGCTTGAAACCTCATCATCGTTGCGAATGACTCGGTCCATTTCTCACTCACGCCCAATCTACATCTTTGGTGGTGCAGACGTTGCCTTGTTGGATGATGTCGGTCTTTGTCCAAGTCGGCTTCTTGGCGTTGCTGCTAACTTGCCACTTGAGGCAAATCGGCAAATCTTGAGCCTTTCCATCGGCAGGCTCTGGGTGAGTCCAGAGGATCACGCTGTCGTCGAGGGGATCGCCAGAAGCGATGCCGTAAGGAAAGGCTAGAGGAGCAGTGTACGTCTCATTCGTGCCGACAGAAGTAGGGTTATCGACGCCAGTGCCCGAAGCTCTCTTGACAAAGTCTCTGCGACGCAACAAGTCAGCCGCCTCCCGACGAACGATGGCATCGATATCATGAGCGAGGCCCGAAGTACCGATGGTGAGAGAGGGAGATCTGTATGCAATGTTGGACAGCAAATAATTGTCTTGAATGCCTGACACGACGGATGTGCTGGCACGGTCCGCGCCTAGGGCGAAGACCGTGAGACTTGCCAGAATGGCAAGGAACTTCATCTTGTGTGGTGAGAAGATTATTTCACTCACGACTCGGCAGACACGATTGACGGTGGAGTTCCTGGCCAGAAGCACAATACATAGCGGCCTTATATATAGTATTTCGGGCTGCGGCCTCTAGCCAGTCACGAAGCTTCAATTGGAGAGCATGTGAGTAGCACTCTCTCGCCCCTCACCTTGCGTTCCTAGGTCTGTGCAATGCGTGCACGAGTTCCTGTACCTGCTTGATCAGTTGTGTTTGATGGGCCGAGCACCACACTGTTTCGTCAGTTTCCATCCGTCGCGAGCCACAGAGCATCATGAGGGAGGGCAGTGGCTGCTGCCAGAAGTAGAGCCGTTCGCCCGCTGCGAAAGAAAGATGCTAGCGCCCCCAGCAGCATCGGCCAGAGATGTCCGTTTGGCAACGTGCGCCCTGCGTGAGGTAGAGGCTAGCGAAGGCGAGTGGACTCACGAACTTTGGTACCGTTGTGAGTACCTAAGCGGGTCAGCATCGCCGCGCAAAGGGCTCATATGGCCTTGAGCCATTCAAAATCGCTGATATTTGATTGATCACGAGCCCAGCCCAGCAGAGTTGCAGGAGGATGGATAAATTAAGTGACTTGAGACTGCTCCCCTTCCTCTGGCCCATGCACGAGGCAACGCTTGTGACGCCATGCTTCAACTTTCGGTCGTTTTGAGGCACGAGGTGCGGCACGCATGCTCAATCACGAGTGCGCACAGCGCGAAAATGCGCACATAGCTTACTACGGTAGTTGCGGGTACAGGCTAGCTCACAGCAGCTCGAGCACTTTCAACAGGGTCTCCTGCAGACCTCGCTCGGAAGTAGGGAGCCCGTATACGCAAATCACATTTTGGCGATTTGAAATTAGTCCCACTCCACGTCACAGAGGGACCATGTCCAGCGCACGTTCTGATGAGATCAAAATCTGATCAGTCTTGCATCCTGTTGCGAATCGTCATGCTCGCGGGGCACTACTACCGTCCCGTCACGACGCGTCGCCGTGGGTTAGTATCTTGAGTAGAGGCAGCGTTGCTACCGAGGCTGTCAATGCAGGAGCTCGAGTGCACTGATGCACCCTTCATTTGCCGACTCAATGGCCTCCAACAACGTCACAGGAGAGGAGATTGCCTTGAGGCTTTCGTGGTCACGTCTATGAAACATGAATCACGTTCATGTGACCAGGTACCACCGAAGCGCATTTCGTGAATGCTGCGCTTCGGTGGTACCTGTCTTGACCCAAGCACACTTTCCTACGTGCCTACGTGGGTGCGTCAGAGAACGTGCCCTTGAAAAACCCCGCATACCGGCGATCCGCGCTAGCGAGCAGCAGTTCACTCGGACCTATCGGACCCAGCGCACAGTCAAAGAGTCACAAGTTACGAGCCCTGTGAGTGAAAAGGGATTATTGTACCAGTAATCTAATTGTGATAGGAAGGTCTCGAACAGAGCGCAACCTTTCTCGAAAGCCTGATTGATTTTGATTGGATCATTACCTTCAAGTTTCATGTGACCAAAATACTTCGGCTCGTGCCTCTGACTTGTATAGCCAGCTTCGTGGATGATGGCACAGGTAGAGAGGACTTGACATGAATCTGAATCATGTCAAAAAGTGTCCTCTCAAGGCAAATGCAGGCAGGCACAGCCAAGCCACTCGCGGTGCGGGGCCAGGTGGTACGACCTCAACATGACGAAAGCTTTGAAAGAGTCTTACTCACGCACCTCCGCAACCGGATTGATTGCCCATCCACACATGTACACCGACTAGACACAAACAATGCGCAAAGCGTGGAGTGTGCATTAACAGTGCGATCCGTAGATACGAGCAAACACAAGACGGTCGAAAGCAGCGTCGAGCATGAAGAAGAGGAGGAGGAAAAGTCTTGTCAAGAAAAGTACATCGATGTAGGATGTACGCGGACACGTATAAAAAATGTAGCACAAGAAGCAGGGCGCGAGCAAGGCGTAAAACGCGAATCAAAGAAACATGCCGCTGGAACGATGTCGGTGGGCTCAGAAAGAAGGCACACCGTGCGCATCGACGATAGTCCTCCTTCCAAACCCATTCGAGTCGAAATGAAGTACCGTGAACTTGTCCTTGTTGCTTCTCGGCTGCTGTTGTTGAGAGTCGTCCGATTCTCTGATGCCAAACCCTCCAAACGGGCTGGGCATAGCTTTCTTTCTCCTATATACAGGTCTAGGAGTACCCTCAAGCGAAAGCGGGTCGAAATCCGGCACCGCCCATTCGTACTCTTCCTCTTTCGCATCTTCGTCTGCTCTCAAATCCAATTCTTCCTGCTCTTGCTCGCTCTCGCTGCATTGCTCCGTCGAGCCGAATATTCTAATCGGTCCGAGGGGATTCCGGTCCGCTGCGGAAGCAGAAGAAGAAGGGTGGGAGGAGGAAGAAGACCAGCCAAACGTGCTTCCGAGAACCCAACCAGCTCCTTTGGAAACGCCTTCCCATGCCGAATACATTCCGTCCGTCACGCCATTCAGTAGCGTCCTGGCCAAGCCCTCATCGAGCGTGCCAGTCCTATAAAGCGTCCTGCTAAGCTCTTGCACGCTCGGCGACGTTTCGTCGCGGAGCGCATTCGGCTTGTTGATCGATTTGTTCCGTGCTGTCGACGCATCATCGGGCGTGATGCCCAACCACCATAGAAAATGTTTCGGCAGCACGGGTATGTAAGCCATCGCTCCTTTTCTCAAAGGAGCTTCTTCATCCGACGGTAGTTGTAGCATGTTCGTAACGTCGGATAGCCCAGCGCCGGGCACGTGCGAAACTAGACTAGCTCCCACTTTGCTCCCTGCCAAAAACTGGATCAATACCGTTCCTCCCTGCAGCACACCCTCCATCGCTCCCGCACTGCTCATTGCGGCCACCTCGCGTGTCGCTTGCTGCTCTTCGCTCGCGTCCGAAGTGCCATGCGCGGCTAGATGAGTGTAGTGGCCCTGCACAGGCAAGCTTCCCGTCTCTAGCGCATCCTTCCACACCTCATCCTCCACCTCCCACACCTTTTCCGTCCTCATCAAAGCGCGCGGTAAATGTCCATGAAGCGCCAATTGTTTGCGCTGCAACTTGACCGTGCCCGATTCTGGAGCTATGAGGTGGACTTGCTCAGAGACGTCTTGAGTGGATTCTTCAGGTTCTTCTTGGGCGTCAAACTTGGGAATAGAAGGGGCGCTCAGGGGATCCAGCCTAGATAAGGGTCTCCTAGTAGGTTCGCTAAACCTGGAGGGCATAGGCGTAGGCTCTCCTTGCTCCGTGTCCCCATCCAGAGCTTCCAGTTCCACGTCGAGATCTTGCTCTGCTTCTTCATGCAGCTCAACGTCCGCATCACCCTCGTATCCTGAGATGGCCGTGACAGCTTTACTGGTCCTATCGCTAGCTTCGCTTGCTTCCCTTCTCTTTCTCCTTCCTTCAGCACGCGGCAACCCTCTAGCCTTTCTCCAGACTCTCATGGCAGGTCCCCCAATCGTGCTTCCACTCGCATCCGATTCGTAGTCCTCTTCATTCTGCTCCCCATCACGCACCCGCTGTGCATCCCTGAGCAAATCGGGCCTCGTCATTTCTCCATGTTTCACGTGCTCGTACGTGCCTCGCGCTCCAGCCTGCGTTTCCGTTTCCGTTTCCGTTTCCGTTTCCGTTTCCGTTTCAGTCTCGTTCTCATTCTCTCCCTCGACAGCAGAGAAGAATTGAGCGTCCGCCATCGAGTCGCGAGCTGACTGGCTCCAATCCTCTTTGGTTGGCACGGGTGGCGGGGCAAAGGTCTCCTCCCTCAGCACGCTCGGCGGTCGAGATTCCACCCTGCCTTCATCCACATACTTGCTGGCGGGTCTGATCGCTTTTCCTTCCTGCTGTGGCAATGCCGATCCTGCAAGAGAGTCGGGCAGGGCATCTTGACCAAGATACACATCCCTAGCCAGCACTCCGATAATCGTCCCCGTCTCGTTGTCGATAGCGACCAGGCTGTTTCTGTAGTCTGCTCGCACAGCGGCTTGTTCTACGGTGGCTGCTGAGGCACCTGCGGAGCCTGGAGGACGTGGACGACGTCGTGGTAGGTTCTTGAGCACCGAGGCGGGTCTCGCATCCTCAGCAGGGGTGATCGCTCCTTGGGACTCTGACTCGTGCGGAAGCGTCATGCGACTCTCGAGAGGCGGTTCGACGGCGGCCAGCTGCTCGATCGAGTCGTCTGCTGTCTGTGATTGGGTCGATCTTGAAACGGCAGGACTTGGCACGTCGACCAGCTGAGCCTGCGACGGACGTTCACACGTAGTGAGGTCGATGCTCTCCTTTCGCTGTACGTCATGCCGGCTCTCGGAGCTCTCGGAGCTCGCCTCGCTCAGCTGTCGCTGATCAGTCTCTGTGTTCGGTCTATCAGCCATCGCACTCGGATCTTCCTTCGCATCCAAGCTCCGCAACGCCGCGGATCGAACGGACGAAGGCGTCGTCGGTGAAAGTGGAGGGCTTTTGAGGCTGTCGGGTTTAGGTGGGAGAGTCGGTCTGATTCGTCCGATTGTCGGTGTAGACTTTGTCTGCAAGTCCTCAGCAGTTTTGAGCTGCGAATCAGCGACTTCAAGGCCGACGGTCGTGTCCACGGTCGTGTTGACGTTGGTAATGTTGGCTAGAGGCCTTGGGCTGCTACTTGCGTTCGCAAGTAACTCAGCCTGGGTCGAGGCGCTGCTGTCATCAGGCTTCGCAGCTGACTCAACCATCGTAGACGCGGACGCGAAGAGCGGATCTTGAGGAGGCTGCATGGGTCGGACCGACAAGTAATTGTCCCGCCACGGCCAGGTGATTTGCGGACTGAGCCAGGGTGGAAGAGGAGGCTGAGGTGATGGATAAGTGAGAAGCAGCGTTCGAAGAGAGGTTACCAGCGGAGCCGGTGCTCTGTGTGCGCGTGTGTGCGGATGTATGCGGCAGCAAGCGGCGACTCGTAAGCAAAAGCAAGCGTGTAGACGACGCAGTGAGCAAGAACAATCAGACAGCCGCTTCACTCACCCAATCAGCCAGATCTCGCATATTATTCCCTGTCCGCCCAAACCAAGCGGATCGAGGTGAAACCAAAGACTGCCTCCATCTCGTCCATGCGTCCCAGCTCCCAATCCCTCGAAAAGCTCTCTATCACCTTGCCTCTCACTAGCCCTATCGATCAACTTCCAAGGCAATATCATCCTCTCCTGTTGTCCCTGCGTGCCAGATCCAGCTTCAAGCTCAGGATCTAAAAGGATCAATAGGGTTTCCCAAGCTGGTCCTCGAGCCGGATCAGGCACTGCGCAGATCTGCAGCGCTCCCGAGACATCTTTGAGAATGGCCGTCTGCGAGAGGTCGACGCCTTTGGCGCCAGGATTGATCAGCCCGTCAAAAGGCCGTGGACAGGGCGAGTAGCCTGATCGTCGCGCATTTGATGGCGCTTGGGGTACGTATTGAAGGATGCGAGCGCGAGGAAAGGCGAAAAGAGCCCCGTTTGTGTGCGCCATTGTGGATGCGAGACTTGCGAGTAAGACTGTTCACGATTCGAAAGTCGTCACAAGAGCCATGCGGGCGAGTAAGTCGATATCTGTTCGTGAAATGTGGCGTCAGGTCGTACTTCGGTCGTGTCGTGTCGTGTCGTGTAGTGTCGTAAGGTAAGGTGGAGTGGGAGCAGGCTTTGATCTTTCAATCAATCTCTGCAACTTTCGATTCGTGAGTGAAGTCCAGAGGGTCGTTTCGACTTCACAAGACCGACGCATACAGTGTGAGTCATAGCGTGAGAGTGCCACTCGCGACTGTTATTACGCTTTCAATCTTGCACCTGACAATAATCAAATTGGCTTGGCTTGGCCTGGCCTGGTCCATTCACGCTCGTGACTCACGACTCACGACTGTGACTGTGACTGGCGTGCGTGCGCCTTGTTGAACGCGTTTAGGGGCCTCCGTCTAGCAGCGGAATTCGAGATTCCTTTAGCGCGCATTCCTTGACTCTAACGGCTGTGTGCATGTAGACGCGCAAGCTCTCGCACGAGACCTCACACGTGATTCAGCTGCTGCTCATGACGTTCGGTGGGGACACGCTGCCTTTGAACTCACTCGTGACTCTCGTGACTTGTGACTCAAGAAGCTGAATGGCACACTCATGTGACTGATTTCCGTCACTCTCACCCCACCAGCGCCGAGCTCGAGTCAAGCTGCAAGCTCCTGACTGGAGCTGAGGTGATACGGATTGTCCAATACTCTCGCTTGACGACTTGATTCGCAGGACTCTTGCTCCGTCTTGTCGTGTTCCCAATTTGCCCCTTGCGGCAACACGGGCGAGCATGTCAAGCGATCCGGCAGCAGCTGCATCGGGGACAGGCAATGGTGCTTCGATCGAACAACGGAAAGGCGAAGTGCCCGATGTCACAGCCACGCCCGCGCAGGCCCCCTTCAGCGAAGCGACAAAAGGAGGTGCGGAAGAAGATGAAGATGGTGAAGAAGAAGATGTAGAAGAAGAAGAAGAAGAAGAAGAAG